TTTTTTTTTTTTTTTTGAGATGGAGTTTCACTCTTGTTGCCCCGGCTGGAGTGCAATGGCCCAATCTCGGCTCACCATCATCTCTGCCTCCTGGATTCAAGCGATTCTCCTGCCTCCCAAGTAGCTGGGATTACAGGCATGTACCAACACGCCCAGCTAATTTTTTCTTTTTTTTTTTTTGAGATGGAGTTTCGCTCTTGTTACCCAGGCTGGAGCGCAATGGCGTGATCTCAGCTGACTGCGATCTCAGCTGACCGCAACCTCTGCCTCTTGGGTTCAGGCAATTCTCCTGCCTCAGCCTCCTGAGTAGCTGGGATTACAGGCACGCGCCACCATGCCCAGCTAATTTTTTGTATTTTTAGTAGAGATGGGGTTTCACCATGTTGACTAGGATGGTCTCGATCTCTTGACCTCGTGATCCACCCGCCTCGGCCTCCCAAAGTGCTGGGATTACAGGCGTGAGCCACCGCGCCCAGCTAATTTTGTATTTTTAGTAGAGAAGGGGTTTCTATATGTTGGTCAGGCTAGTCTGGAACTCCCGACCTTGGTGATCTGCCTGCCTTAGCCTCCCAAAGTGCTGGGATTACAGGTGTGAGCCACTGTACTTGACCTAATTTTTGTGTTTTTGGTAGAGATGGGGTTTCACCATTTTGGCCAGGCTGGTCTTGAACTTTTGACCTCAGGTGATCCACCCACCTCAGCCTCCCAAAGTGCTGGGATTACAGGCATGAGCCACCATGACAAGCCTGTTTTTTTTTCTTTTTTTTTTTTTTTTAAAGTAGAGATGATTTCGCCATGTTGCTCAGGCTGGTGTTGAACTCCTTCCAGAAGTGCTAGGATTACAGGCATGAACCAAGCCACCCAGCCAGGAGTGGGTTTTATGAACAACATAGTGTGGCTGGGCTTGGTGGCTCACACATGTAAATCCAGTGCTTTGGGAGGTTAAGAAAGGAAGTTCACTGAGGCCAGGGGATTAAGACCAGCCTGGGCAACAAAGCAATACTCTCATCTCCACAGATACATAAGTAAATAAATAAGTAAATAAATTAGGTGGGCACAGTGGCACGTGCCTGTAGTCATAGCTATTCAGGAGGCTGATGCAGGAGGATTACTTGAGCCCAGGAACTTGAGGCTGCAGTAAACTAGCTCACGATTATGCCACTGCACTGCAGCCTGGGTGACCTGGAGAGAGCAGCTTAGAAAGCAATACTTTGTCTCTAAAATCAAAGAAACAGACAAAATAATGTATCAGCATGGGCTTTATAGTCATAGACCTGGTTCCGATATGAGCTTTGCTGCGTACTAGCTGTATAACAGTGGAAAATTTACTTAACTTCTCTGATCTAAAGTGAGTTTACTAATATCTTTCTCATGGGGCTTTGGGATGACTAAATGAAATAATGTTTATAAAACATTTAGCATAGTCTGGCTTGACATTTGGCATTCAGTCAGTCAATGTTAACACAACCCTTTATTAAAAGCTAATTGTATTGACTAGGCCTCTTTTCAGGGTGTTTCCTTGATCTGAGGCTAGAATGACTATCTTAGATGTTACACTTATCATGGGTGTTATATCATGTGGCTCCACAGGCCTGTACCTGAACTTCCTGGGAAGTCAACCTTCTTTGGCACCTCAGATGAGTTTATTGAGAAGCGACGACAAGGTCTACAGCACTTCCTTGAAAAGTGAGTGGACTTAACAGGCTGGCACTGGCCCCTGAGTGTGGAGGCAAGGGTGGGTGGAGGAAGGCACCAGGCAGGATGGAACTCCCTGCTCAGGTAGCCAGAAGCCCTTCAGAGGACGGAGAATGGAGAGCAGTTCCTCAGGGTGATGCTCTGTGTCGTGCTACCTGTGTTTTCCCCAGGGTCCTGCAGAGTGTGGTTCTCTTGTCAGACAGTCAGTTGCACCTCTTCCTGCAAAGCCAGCTTTCGGTGCCTGAGATAGAAGCCTGTGTCCAGGGCCGAAGCACCATGACTGTGTCTGATGCCATTCTTCGATATGCTATGTCAAACTGTGGCTGGGCCCAGGAAGAAAGGCAGAGCTCTTCTCACCTGGCTAAAGGAGACCAGCCTAAGAGGTAAATGGAGTACTCTTTGAGATAGCAGGGGCTAGGTTTGCTAGAACCTGGACCAGAGAGGTGTCCATTTGTTAGGGAAAGTAATGTTATGGCATGGATAGCCTTTCGCAGAGATCTTGTTCTTTGGGTGCATGGCTATCTATCCAGTGGGTCTATGTTAATCCACCACTGGGTAGCAGGGGCTCCTTCTGAAACCTGGGAAGAAAGAAGGGAAAGCTTTCTCATTTATTCAGTTTTTTATTCCTTGGAAATGGAGGCTCACTCTTTCTCCCAGGCTGAAGTGCAATGGCACCATCTCAGCTCACTGCAACCTCTGCCTCCCAGGTTCAAGTGATTCTCCTGCCTCAACCTCCTAAGTAGCTGGGATTACAGACATGTGCCACCACGCCTGGCTAATTTTTGTATTTTTAGTAGAGACAGGGTTTCAGCATGTTGGCCAGGCTGGTCTTGAACCCCTGACCTCTGGTGATCTGCCCACCTCCGCCTCCCAAAGTGCTAGGTGGTGTGAGCCACCACCACTGGCCTAATAGCTTTATTGACATACAATTTACCTGCCATAAAGTTTACCTTTTTAGGTGGGGTGCGGTAGCTCACACCTGTAATCCCAGCACTTTGGGAGGCCAAGGCTGGTGGATCATAAAGTCAGGAGATCAAGAACATCTTGACCAACATGGTGAAACCACATCTCTACTAAAAATTGAAAAATTAATTGGGTGTGGTGGCTCGTGCCTGTAGCCCCAGCTACTCTGGAGGCTTAGGCAGGAGAATCGCTTGAACCTGGGAGGCAGAGGTTGCAGTGAGCCGAGCGCCACTGCACTCCAGCATGGGAGACAAGAGTGAAATTTTGTCTCAAAAAAATTTTTTTTAAACTTTACCTTTTTAATATACAGTTCAGTAGTTTTTATTGTAGTCACTGGGTTGTATAACTGTCAGCCACCACAGTCAATTTTAGAACATTTTCATTTTCACCATCCTGAAAGAAACCTTGTACCCATGAGCAGTGACTCCCCTGTCCTTCCCTTCCCCCCAGCTCCTGGCAACAACTAGTATACTTTTTCTGTCTATGGATTTGTCTGTTTTGGACATTTACACAAATGGAGTCATATGATATGTGGTCTTTTGTGACTGGCTTCTTTTATGTAGTATAATGTTTTCAAGGTTCATTCATATTGTAGTATGCATCATTACTTCATTACTTTTTTTCTTTTTTCCCATTTTTATGGCTAAATAACAGTCCATTTGTATGGCTGTATAAGCTTATTTTGTTTATCCATTCATTTGCATTTATCTGTTCATTTTTTTAATTTTAATTTTTTTTTTTTTTTTTTGAGACAGAGTCTCACCCTATCACCCAGGCTGGAATGCAGTGGTGTGATCTCGGCTCACTGCAACCTCCGCCTTCCAGGTTCAAGCAATTCTCCTGCCTCAGCCTCCCAAGTAGCTGGGATTACAGTCGCCTGCCATCATGCCTGGCTGTTTTTGTATTTTTAGTAGAAATGGGGTTTCGCCATGTTGGCCAGGCTGGTCTTGAACTCCTGACCTCAGGTGATCTACCTGCCTCAGCCTCCCAAAGTGCTGGGATTACAGGTGTGAACCACTGTGCCCGGCCACTTTTTTTTTTTTAATTGAGACAGGGTTTCACCATGTTGCCCAGGCTGGTCTCCACCTCCCAGGCTCAAACAATTCACCGTACCCAGCCATTTTTTTTTTTAATTGGGCAGCCTTCTGAGCCAGAATAGGCTCAGAGAGACCTCCTTCCCATTCATTTTTGTTTATATGTTCATACTCTTTTTTTTTTTCTGAGACAGAGTCTCACTCTGTTGCACAGACTGAAGTGCAGTGGTATAGTCATAACTCACTGCAGCCTTGACCTCCCAGGCTCAGTCCTCCCGCCTCAGCCTCTGGAGTCGCTGGGATTACAGGCATATGCCACCATGCCTGGCTAATTTATTTTTATTTTTTGTAGAGACAGGGTCTCCCTATGTTACCCAAGCTGTTCATACCCTTCTTTTCCGTTTTCCACTCTTTTCCAGTTGCTGCTTTCTTCCAAGATCTGGTAGGAGGAACTCTCCCTCACCGCCTGCCAGTGAAGAAAAAGACCATTTAGAAGTGTGGGCTCCAGTTGTTGACTCTGAGGTTCCTTCATTGGAAAGTCCCACTCTCCCACCCCTCTCCTCGCCATTATGCTGTGATTTTGGAAGACCCAATGAGGGAACCTCCACTCCTCAGTCTGTGAGGAGGGCCCTGGGAGGAGACTATGCTGTGCCTTTGGATCCTGGTCAGTTAGAAACAGTTTTGGAAAAGTGAGCTCTGGGTTCTGCTCTGAGATGGTCAGAGAAGATGCGGGCCAGGAGACTTACTCAGGTGGGATTGGGCACAGGGCAGGTATTGTGGGAGGCTGGGTTGCTTAGTGTCTTCTAGTCTCCTCTGCTTGGGCTGAGTGACAGGTCAGTCATAACAGCCCCTTATGCCTCTTCCATGGGAATAAATACTGTGCAGATGTTTGTAAGTTAAGCATAAGGCCCAGGGGCTGTTTATTTTGAACAGAACCCATATTTACTCTCCTGGGAGGTGAGTTTCTACAGGTCATTTGTATGTAGGACCGGGAGTACTTCCTCAAGTGGCTGGTTTTGGGGAGCTGTATGTGGCAGATTCTAAGCTGCCATATTGAACATTGTCCCAACAGGAGTGATTACGTTGTGTCCCCATCTTGACTGGCTTCAGTTTTTGCTGTAGCCCTAGAGCACTTTGTTTCTGGAAGGCTGGCCTCTTGCCTACCTCCTTGCATGGATGGGGGGGATGAATATTTACTTTCCACCTTGCTTTTTCTTCCACCGGTACCACTGAATGGAACTGGTGCTGTGACTCCTGCTGCAGGGGTTTTATGTCCCGAGACCTTAATCTGGCTGAGTGGAGCCTGAGACCTGCACAACAGCTCATGGTCATGCATGAGAGAGAAGTGGCTGGCCACAGCCAGAGGGAACAGCAACAGCTCAGGGGCCTGGTTATAAAGGGGAGAGATGGCTATCTTTTCTGCAGGGTTAGAGTGGGCTCCTTTCTTTTCTGAGTCCTTTTCTTCTTTGGTAACAGTTCCCTGCCTCCAGGGCTTCAGCCGCTAGCGTCCCTCTGCTGTGCTGCAGGGAGGCCATATGTTCATTCAGTGGGGCGCAAGGGCTTTGTTTCTGCCTGGAAGAGAGGGCTCTGGGGATGAGGAAGAACACGCTCTCCTTCAGACAATGAGGCATTCTGTCCTGCTGCCATTCTTCATCTCCACCGAGAGCCAGAGCTGGTAGGAGCAGAGTGCCATGGGCATTCTGCATTGCTCTACTCTTAGGTTTGTTTGTGTGATTCTTCCCCTCCCTCTCGCCCACTCCTCCCTCCTCTGGCCATCCTACCCTGTCTGTGGGCTCTTTTACTACCAGCCTATGCTGTGGGACTGTCATGGCATTTAGTTCAGAGTTGAGGGACTTTGGCCTGAAATAAAATGCAAGTATTTAAGATTGTTGTTGCAATTTGTGTCTAACAAGCTGTAGCAGAGAAGGAGGGAGTGAGGGCTGGCAGTAGTTCCTTTCATAAATCATGAATTTATCAGCGTGGAAATAATGGTTCAGAACTGTGCTCTGCAGCTCTCCTGCATTGTGTGTGCAGCTCAAGTTCACCACTGGAGGAAGGATTGCCTTCCAAAGAGCTGGGATCCAACTCTTCTCACAGTTCTGGGCATGAACCTTGTTAGGTATAATTTACCTGATGCTGCTTCCATCCTTGCAGCCTGTCTGAGGTGCCAGGTGCTGAAAGAGAAATAAAGTTTGTCAACAGGCAGATGCAAAGCCCTGGCTGGTATTCATCCCTCTTTCCTGCCCGCCTCCCCTGGGTCTCTCCTTTATATGATGTAGCAGAGCAAGGCGAGGATAGAAAACCTACAGAGGCAAATCCAAAATGTCAGAAGAAGTTCATTTAAAAGGGGAAAAAAACTCCACGCGCAACCCTCACAAAAAGCCGACAGATGCTAACCTAATGGCATCCACTCTGCCGATTGGTGGGGATGGCTCATGAATATTAATGAGTCCAATGCTCCAAATGGTGCAGCTGTGAACCCAGCTGTGCCTGAAGCTCTCTGATCTCGAAACTTCCAGACAGGAGCCGGAGGTGGTCTGTCAATTCCCTACTCAGCCAAAAAACAGCAAGTTGGGTTGGCCTTCTTCTGTTCGCACCTTTTCTTTCTGGAGTTGGTGCTCAGCAGCTAGTTCTGCCAGCAGGCTCGGCTGCTGGGACAGCAGGAGCCATTCAAAGACATGGATGTGATTTTTCTGACTCCCAGTTTTTTAATGATCCATTGGCAGCGTGCCTACAACAGCACCTCAGTTAATCTAAGGCCAGGCACCATTTCCTTTCAGTCTCTTTCTGAGTTAAGTATAGGCCTTGGAAGGAGAAGTCCTAAGAAAGAATGCACTTTTCTAATAATACAGGCCTGGGGTCATCAGAAAAATTGTGCATATGAGTTTTCCCCTCCATCCAGATAGTGCCATAGGGCCCTCTTCTGTTTTGCTCTGTCCCTGCGTGGCTGGATGACCTCTATGAAAGATGGGGGATTAGATGGGGGGGAGTGGCTCATTGAGCTGTTTGTAAAATAAAAATATTTTGTTTAGAATTCAGTTTTGAGTCAAGTTCTGTTCTGATTTAGTCACCTTTTTTCTGTCAGATACCTCCGTGGCCCACATCTAGTCATCCATTACCCAGGAAGACTGATTCCAAGCTTATGGGGGCTGTTTTGTTTGGTGGGAGGAAATGTATTTGTGTGTGGGGGTGGGTTTTCTTATATTAAAATGCTAAGTTATATAAGCATAATTATATTGGCCCTTCTCAGTGCCTAGTGAGGAAGGTAGGGCAGGTATATGTGCCTTTTTTCATTGAGGAAACAGAGCTCAGTGAGTGTTTATGTGTGTGCCTTAATTGAGGCAGGGTCGCCCTTTGCTGACCAGGGAGCAATCTCAGCTCACTGCAACCTCCGCCTCCCAGCATCAATCAATTCATCTGCTTCAGCCTCCTGAGTAGCTGGGATTACAGGGGCCTGCCACCATAGCTGGCTAATTTTTTAATTTGTATTTTTATTTTAATTAATTAATTAATTTTTGAGATGTGCAATCTCGGCGGCAAACTCCACCTCCCTGGTTCAAGCGATTCTCCTGCCTCAGCCTCCCGAGTAGCTGGGACTACTGGCGCATGCCTCCACACCCAGGTAATTTTTGTATTTTTAGTAGAGACGGGGTTTCACCATGTTGGCCAGGATGGTCTCTAACTCCTGACCTCAGATGATCCACTCACCTTGGCCTCCCAAAGGGATAGGATTATAGGCATGAGCCACCACACCTGGCCTTTTTAACCTGATCACGACTTTTTAACAATCTGATTGGGCATTAAGTTAGTTCCATGTATGTGAATTTGTTTATATGCCTCAGCTCTTGCAGAATATGCTTAATACCCTAGGGGTGGGGTAGACAGTAGGCCTGAAGAATTTGATGTAAGGAGGGGTTGGGGGTAGAAAGGGGAATAGATCAGTTTCCAGCCTGCCTCACAGAAGCTGCAGGAGCATTAAATCAGAGGCTAGAGTGGCATCTGTGGATTTATGTATGGGCAGCCAGCTGAGATGTAGCTAAAACCAAACATAACCACAGCAGCGCAACGTAGCACTTCCTTAGTGGAGCACTGGGCAGTGATCTGAAGCTGGAGGGACTGCCCTCTCAGTAGGGACTCAGTTCTGTAGAAGACTCAGACAGAGACTGGCTCAAAGTACCTTTCTTTGAACTATGGATGAGTGCTCCCTTTCCTGTTCTTACCCACTATACTTTTTTTTTTTCTTTTTTTGAGATGTAGTTTTTTTTTGAGATAGAGTCTTATTCTCACCCAGGCTGGAGTGCAGTGGCACAATCTCGGCTCACTACAACTTCTGCCTCCCAGGTTTAAGTGATTCTCCTGCCTCAGCCTCCTAAGTAACAGATTACAGGCATGTGCCACCATGCCTGGCTAATTTTTGTATTTTTAGTAGAGATGGGGTTTTACCATGTTGGCCAGGCTGGTC